CGAGCTAGGTTCGCGAAACTATTCGTACTCTATTTTTTTGGAGATGATGACGAGTTTCCTGACTGTACTCGAGCTGCAGATAAGCTGCAGAGCTCTTGGGCAGCAATCGGAATGAAATCATCAGACCGGATAGTCTGGCGTATTCAGACGCTTGAAATCTGTCTGCTATCGGCGCTGGAGCCGCACAACAATTCGTACTCTGCTATTTTTTTGGAGATGGTGGTGATTTTATTGACTTGAATCGAGCTGCGAGCTGCACAGGAGCTACAGAGCTCTCCAGCACAGCAATCGGCAGGAAATCATCAGGCGCGCTAGTTCAAAGTATCTAGACGCCTGAAATCAGTCTGCTATCAGCGCTGGGGCTGAAAAACTATTCGGACCCTGCTATTTCTTTGGAGATGGTGATAGTTTTCTTGATTTAAATCGAGCTGAAGATGAGACACAGAGCTGTTTAGCAGAGAAATCGGAAGGACATCATCATGCGCGCTAGTTCAAAGTATCTAGACGCCTGATCTTGGTTTGCTATCAGCGCTGGTGCTGAAGAACTATTCGTACTCTGCTAGTTTTTCTTCGAGATTGTGATGCTTTTCTGGACTTAACTCGAGCTGCAGATGAGCTACAGAGCTGTTCGGCACAGCAATCAGAAGGAAATCATCAGGCGCGGTAGTCTGAAGTATCTAGACGCCTGAACTCGGTCTGCTATCAGCGCTGGGGCTGAACAACTATTCGTACTCTGCTACTTTTTTTGGAGATGGTACTGGTTTTCTTGACTTAAATCGAGCTGCAGATGAGCTACGGAGCTGTTCGGCACGGCAATCGGGAGGAAATAATCAGGCGCGCTAGTTCAAAAGTATCCAGACGCCGGAACTCGGTCTGCTGTCAGCGCTGGGGCCGAACGACTATTTGTACTCTGCTACATTTTGAGAGATGGTGATGGCTTTCTGTGCACTGTTCGGCACGGCAATCGAGAGGAAATCAACGGGCGCGCTAGCTCAAAGTGTCCAGACGCCTGAACTCGGTCTGGTATGTCTATCTTTTTTTCCAGAGATGCTTTTCCGTCGCTCCTTCTTCTCCCCCACGTCCTCCTCCATCAGACCGCGCCCTCTCGCGCGCAATGCGAGATTGCCGCGCTCGCATTGCACGAGGAAGCTCTACGAGTTCCCGGCGGTAGCCAGGGTTGACGGTTTACCGCCGGCTCCCAGTGATTTCCGTTTGGGAGCCGCTGCGACCACCTGTCGCGCAGCGCTTGTCCACCTCAGCTTGCGCCGGAGCCTGCGTGCGCTCGAACTCCGGGAACAGCGGGTCGCCAGCCTTCCGGGTCGGGGATGCGGCTCGGGAGGAGGAGGAGAGGGAGGAGGGGCAGGAGACGGAGCGCGAGGAGGAGGGGGGGGGAGGGGGAGCAGGAGAAGGAAAAGGAGGAGGAGGAGCAGGAAAAGGATGGGGAGGAGGGGGGGGGGGAGGAGGAGGAGGAGGAGGAGGGGAGCGAAGAGAAAGGGGAGGAGGAGGAAGAAGAGGAGGAGGAACATCAGGAAGAGGAGGAGGAGGAGGATAAGGAGGAGAAGGAGGAGTAGGAAGAGGAGGAATTGGGGGAAGGCGGAAGGATATGAATATGAGGAATACTAGGCATATTACAGTAGATGGTATTAGTCGTAAGACAAACATATTTTCTTCATTATTAGAGGTAATGCGAATGGGGCGTCCGCCTGAGATTTCCTCGCAATGCAATTGCAGACGAGGTTCATGTTTTATGCTTCCTCCAAAACCAGGCTGGGCGAGCCCAAAAGTGAAAGCAGTTGCAGGTTTCCGATGACCGGCTTGGATTGCGAACGTGAAGTGCGGGCCCCGCCGGGGGCTCCCGCCAGGGAATTCTTTGCAATTCAATCACCGACAAGGCTCCCGCTTAATACTGCGTCCACATTCGGCCTGAGGGGCCCCAGAATGACGACAATTACAGGATTCCGACGACCCCCTCGGATTGCCAACGTGAAGTGCGGGGCTCCCGCCGTGGACTTCTTCGCAATTCATTCAGAGACGGGGCCCCCGCCCGATAGTTCTACCATATTCAAGCCGGAGGAGCCCAAAAGTGATGGCAAGTATAGGTTTCCGATGACCGCTCGGATTGCTAATGAAGCGTGGGCCCCATAGGGGGCCCCCGCCCGAGACTTGGTTCACCATTCACCCACCGACGAGGCTCATGATGGTGATGATTGGTGATGACGATGATGATGAGGAAGATGATGTGGCGGTGGTGGTGTGTTATTGCGCGGGGTGTCCAGAGAAAAAATTGCAGAGTAATGTGAGGAGGTGTGTGTGATGTGCGATTGAGTATGATGATGGTGGTGGTGGTGATGCTGATGATGATGATCGATGGCTGATGCTGCTGGTGATCGATGGTGAGCGACTGAGTATAATGATGGTGATGTTGATGATGATGACCGGTAGTGATGATGACCGATGACGGGGTGAACGCGTGAGTGAGGCGGAGTGGGAGGGAGGTGTTCCTCCGCGGAGGGTGCTCAGAGAAAACAAGAACACCACTTGAGATGTGGGGAATAAGAACAATAATATTACCAGTAGCCATTTTGGCTCAAGACTCAAGGGCCGCCAGGGCGGGCGCAAGATGGATTGCATCCCCCTGGCTATGTTTTCGTTGCGATGCCATTTGTCTGGTCTCTGATATCGACTTGTTGACCCCTCATTGTACAGTGAGCTCCATGTCTCTTCTTCCCACTCTGTTGAAACAGTTCAGTCTTTCAGTGTCCTGGGATGGAACGTCGGGTACCACCGTGGGATAGATGCATGTCGACGTGCTGTGCGTGCTGTGTTCGATCAGATGCCAGTTGGCACGAACGCGATCATGCTTGTCGCACGGTCTGACGGCGCACCATGACCATGCAACTTGTGAGCGATCCTTTTTGTGATTGCGCCTTTTTGATTCCGGTTCGTGGTCGCCGAGAGTTCAGTGCATTCATTTTGGCAATGATTATTGCGTCGTGGCTGTGGACGGTTGCATGTTTATTTCAGCTCATTTGTAAGACTTTGGAGTCGAGGGTGGTCGAGCTGACATCGTATTTTTCGAAACCGTACACCGTGTTTCGATTTTAAAGCAATGCAGTCCTCATGTTGTTTTTCAGACATTCTTTGGCGTTGACGCCAACGTGACGTTGCCAGCGGAGTACGGGTCTGTGACTGGCGCGAACGTGCGCGCACCACTACCGGCGCACGCGCGCACGCTGTTTTCAAGCAAGGGAAGTGTTGGGTTGGTTGGACGGGCTGGGGATGCGGATGTGTAACGCGTTCGGGACTCCGCCGCCTGCCAATTGGACCAGGTGCTCATCTAGGGATGACCCACGCGCGACGCTGTCTCAAATCGATTTCTTGGGAACGACCGAGTCGGTAGAGGGCGCGGCTGGGGTTTGGGATGACGCTGGCGTGGAACTTTTTTGCAGCTCCAATCACAGACCCATTTTGGGGCAGTTTGGGGTCCAACGTTCAGTAGGGATTCAGCGCTGTCGCGTTCCGCCGTCGAGGAAGGGGTGGTGCCCTATCGATGCTGCGGCCGCCGCGTATTTTCGCAGCGGCGCCGTCGAAGTTTCTGTGCGGTGTCGCGATTTGGAGGCGTGGGATCAAGCTATATCCGACCTGGCTGATAGCACCCAGTACACCGCGGCATCTACTCGACGCCGCCACGATCGCAGGACTTCGGATCAAGCAGAGATGCGCGCCGCTCGTTGGGCCGTCCTGCAGGCCGAGCCTCGGGCGTTGGCCCGTGGGGATGCCGTTCGCAGCCTGCGGAAACTTCAACAGAAACGGGCTTGTCATAAAAACAACTGTTTTCTTGAGGAGGTTGCCGCGGGTAAGAAATCTCGGGTTGTCAGTCCTGTCTTGATGCAAATGGGAAGTGAGCTGACAGGAAACAAACAAAGATGGCTTCTTGACGCTGCTCTGTTTGGTGCGGACAAGTACGGTTCGAGCGACAACACTGCAACTGCACAGCGTGCCAAATTAGAGTTGCTACATGCGCGTGGTCGGGGAGAGAGGCTGGATGGGGGAGCTCCTGAGAAATTTCCCTTTTTACGACATTCTACATGCTAGATTCTCGAATCCTGGGACGGCAGGAGGGGCGGACGGCAGGCCGCCTGAGTTTTACACGCATTTGCCATTTCTGGCCGTTTGGCATGTTTTGGAAGATGTTTGATGGGCATTCTGCTGACCTTTCCTCCGCTGGACCATGCAATGGGAAGATATTGGAGTTCATTGGCATTCCAAGAGAGATTTGCAAAAAAGTGGTCGAAATTCCGGTGGATTTCCTAGATAAGCTGATTGGAGCAGTGATATGCGAAGTCTGGCCAACGTATTCTTTCATGTTTAAGCCGTTCCCTATACATTCATTTGGATTCCGACGGGGGAATAGCTCTGACATGGTTGTGGCTCTCATCCGACAGCTGCTCACGGTAGCGTCTGGATTCGGTTTTGATTTGTTTGTTGGCGCGTCTGATGTGCACGCGGCGTTCGACGAGATGAACCATGCAAATTTGGTTTTGGCGCTCAGGAGTAGAGGATTGAGTTTTTGGGCTACTGCTAACCTCATTCGAGAAGTCACCAGTTTTAGAGCTAAGATTGTAATCCCGACAGCCGGGACGACCGATATGTTTGATTTCTGTTCTGGCGGGGCGCAAGGCGGAGCGGAAACGCCAGATGAGTGGAATGCGTGTCTAGAGTGGATCATGACCCCCCTGGTGCTAGCGTGGACGCGCCGAGGTTGGGGGGCTAAATTGGACATGACAGGCGTTGATCGTGTCACACGCGTGACTTGGGCTGACAATATTGTTTTACCGTGCAACTCCGCCGCTGAGTTCCGCGTGATGGCGCAGGAGTTGACCGCGGCTCTCTAAAAAGCAGGGCTCAAGCAGAAGAACGGCTCCCTTGAACTGCTGACGTGCCGGGGCCGACCTGTGCGCTCCGAGTCCTTCCAGATAGTTTTGCCGGGTGGGGGGGAGATGCAGTTTGAGGAGAAAGACCACATCGTGCTCCTCGGCATCATCTTGGACCGTACGGGCAGCACTCTGGCAAGTGTGAACCACAGATTGGCGTGCGCCGAACAAGCATTTTGGGCAGTCTCTAAAAAACTATGCGGCCCAGGGCCATCCAGGCCAAACTCGGAGCATGGCAATCAGTGGTTATATCATCCGCGCTGTTTGGTTGCAGAACGTGGCATCTATCTTCCCATCTTCTACATCGGTCGAGAATTTGGGAGCTCAAGTTCCTCCGCCGCGTGTTTCGCATGAAGCCTGCGCCGAGCGTTGGACCCTTGGGACCACTTGAGCCACGAATGCATTATAACAAACGGACTGTAGCAACCATCTACAATTGGTTTGCTACCAGTGGCCGTGCGATGGCGTTCCAAAGATGCGCTAAAGCGGTGCACAAGGCAGCGTGGGGCGAGACCACCGTCGTCCTTGCGAGCGGCGGTAATCTTTTGTCTGCAGCCCGTCGCGGAGTGAGCAGAAAGTGGTGGGAGTGCATGAAGACAGTGCCAGTCCAGAAGCGTAGGAAGGGGGATGTTGTGTTCACACGGCGTGGGCTGCAGAGTTTTTGGGAAAGACCCGTTGGTGTTGGTTTGGGGGCTCCATCGGAGGTCCGCTCGAGACGATCGTCGATCTTCGACTGCGTGGGCGCGCAAAGCTGGCGAGACGATGCGGTTACTGTCAGAAGCATGGAAACTACCTTGTACTGCGCTGCTTCCCCATGCAATTGCGACGCCCACGGGTCGCAAGAAGGCGATTCGTACTTCCAGCGGCCCCCCAGTGGAAATTGCCCATTTGCACCCGCATCCGCAGGATCATGAATGGCAAGATGATGGAGTTCGGTTTCGCTTGGTGGTTGACTGCCAGGTCTTGGCGGGTCTCGTTAACGGCGCTACGCCTCTGCTCGACGAATCGTTCCGGCCCCCATTGCGACGCGTGGTATCTTCGTTGGACCGGCTCCTGCAGCGCGGCCCGCGTCGCCTCGGGACTGGGGCGATCCAGTTTGTTGGCGGGATTGCACGTGGAATCGACAGGCGGATCGGGTTGCAAATCGCGCGATGGACGCCCGGCAGGAGGTCCATTGGGCGGCCCCGGATATCGCCAAGATTGCACAAGGGTCGCATGTATTTGTATTTTCCGATGGTGGGTTCCGTCGTGGCACTGGTCGAGCTTCTGCAGGCTTTGCCGCCTACGTGCGTGATGCGAGGATTGGTGGCGCCAGACTGGTGGCCTTCAAGGGCTGCCCACTCCAGAATATCCACAGTGCATTTCAGACAGAAGTCATTGGGCTCGAAATGGCTATAGACTTTTTGCTGCAATTTTCGATTGGTACAGTCGCGATGTAGTTCTAGTTTCTATCAGTTGTAAGCATATACAGTGTAATCGTTTCTGCTTGCGTTGCCCGGCTGTGTCACATGACATCAAGCCTTTGCCACAAAACAAGTAACGCCAATACGAGTATGAATTCTACGACTATCCATAAGGATACCATTTCTACTCATACTTGTTTTACTAGTAGTCATCGTAATAGTATGAATAATGATGGAGTATGCTTCAACTAGTTCTCACAGTATCAAATATCATACGTATACCACTACGGTTCAAGAAAGCTACACGAGTACTACCAAGAACAATCACACTCATCATACTATTACGAATCATTTTACGACTTGTAACAACAGTACTGTTAATGGTGACAAGAAGAATATTGATAGTGAAACCAACCATTTCACTATCACTCTTCAGACTAGTACCATTAATCTGCATACTATTAGTATTTGTAATAGTACTAGTTACACCAGTGATATTATTTCTAACAATAGTGCTGATGCTGATGCTGATGGTGCTGGTGGTGGTGGTGGTGATGATGATGTTGATGGTTATGATGATGATGATGATGGCGATGACGATGACGATGGCGATGATGATGCTAATGCTGATGATGATGATGATGATGATGATGAGGATGATGATGCTGCTGCTGGTGATGCTGATGATTATGATTTTTAGTGTTGGTAGTTTTAAACTCATTATTAGGTGTATTCTGTTTTAGATATTATCTCTAGCTCATTATCAGGACTATTATCATCATAGTCAGGATGATGATGATGATGATGATGATGATGATGCTGATGATGATGATGATGAGGAGGATTCTACTATATCGCCAACATTGAGACAGTGGTCGCGCAACAATCGAACAGTGCTTACAACATGAGGGAGATGATGATGAGGAGGAGGAGGATGAGGAGAAGGAGGAGGAGGAGGAGGAGGGGGAGTAGGAACCTGATCGGCGGAGGAGGAGGAGGAAGAGGAGGAACAGGAGGACGAGGAGGAGGAGGATGAGGAGGAGGAGGGATGAGGACGAGGACCAGGTCGAGGAGGAGGAGGAAGAGGAGGATGGGAGGAGAATGAAAAAGGGGGGGAGGAGGAGGAGGAGGAGGGGGGGGAGAGGAGGAGGAGGAGGAGGAGGAGGAGGAGGAGGAGGAGGAGGAGGAGGAGGAGGAGGAGGAGGAGGAGGAGGAGGAGGAGGAGGAGGAGGGGGAGGAGGAGGAGGAGGAGAGAGGAGGAGGAGGAGGAGGAGGAGGAGGAGGAGGAGGAGAGGAGGAGGAGGAGGAGGAGGAGGGGGACGAGGAGGGAGGACGGGAGGAGGAGGAGGGAGGAGGAGGAGGAGGAGGAGGAGGAGAAGGAGGAGGATGAGGAGGAGGGGGGGTGGAGGAGGAGGAGGAGGAAAAGCAGGAAGCGGAGGAGGAAGCGGAAGAGGAGGCGGAGGAGGAGTAGGGGGAGGCGGAGGAGAAAGAGGCGGAGGAGCAGGATGAGAGGAGGATGATGAGGAGGAGGAGGAGGGCGAGGAGGAGGAGGAGGAGGAGTAGGAGGAGGAGGAGGAACAGGATAGGTGGAGGAGGGGGGATGGTGGAGGATGATGGGGGGGGGCGCATGATCGGGAGCTGGTCGAGGATGCGCAGTGGACAACGCTGCCGAGAACGATGAGGCGGGGGAGGAGCATGAAAACAATATCCTCACTCCTTTTTCCTTTCCAAAAATATCTGGGCGCACCGAAGCCCCTGATCTGTATTTTGTTTTCGATTGCGTAACAGATGCGATTCCAGTTCTGAGTCGAAGCGGCAGGTGGAATATCGCGTCTAGTCTGATCCTCCCATCTAGGCTCTCGCATGCCTGTTGATGGGGTCCAGGGCGGTTCAAGGTGGCTCCAAGATGGCCCTGGAAGGATACGCTGAGGTTTAAACATGGGTCATGACGCCTCCACAGATGCCAACAGCATTCCGAAGTGCCGCCTGGAAAACCTTGACGTACACCGCACTCACATCTACACCCCTGTGTGGGTGTATGTGCGGCCGTTTTTGCGCTGTCATGTGCGCGCATGTGTGCGGCATGTGCCAGTCATGTGCGGGGCCTGTGCGGCCCTTCTTGGATGGACTTCGTACTGTGCACGTCGTGCCCGGGCATGTGCGGGGGCATGTGCGCTGTGTTTTGGTGTATCCATCATACGCGCATGCACGCACAGTCCGACGCACATGCGCGCACATGCCTGCACATGCGGGAGGTGTTCGAGAATCGCAGATCTGTCATCGGCACATGCACGCACATGCCTGTGCAACCTCTCTTCGGGAGGCCGCGCGGGCCCGCACATGCAGGCACATGCGGTGAAACGCGCGGGCACACATGCGTGCGCATCCCAATGCACATGCGCGCTCATGCCCTAGGAACTGTCTGGGACCCCTGTGCCTCCAATGCCTCCTGGCTTTCGCAGAGCTAACCTGGGGCGTGCCGGGGCTTCCTGAAAGAGTTTGTTGTGCGTTTAGACTCGCCCGCTGCTGGCGGGGGTGGTTCTTCGCCCGGTTCGTGAGCTGGCGGTGGCGTGCCCTCCTGGTAAAACGCTCCCCCGCGCGCCTCCTCAGCTCGGCCGGAGAAGCAAAGGGGGGGAGATGGGGGGGGGGGGAGGGGGGGTCGGAGGCGGACGCCCCCGCTCGGCCGGCCCCGCCGCCTGTTCGGTTCGGCCAGACGAGAAGGAGGAGGAGGAGGAGGAGGAGGAGGGGAGGAGAGGAGGAGGAGGAGGAGGAGGAGGAGGAGGAGGAGGAGGGAGGAGGAGGAGGAGGAGGAGGAGGAGGAGGAGGAGGATGAGGAGGAGGAGGAGGAGGAGGAGGAGGAGGAGGAGGAGGAGGAGGAGGAGGAGGAGGAGGAGGAGGAGGAGGAGAGGAGGAGGAGGAAGGAGGAGGAGGAGGAGGTGAGGAGGAGGAGGAGGAAAGAGGAGGAGGAGGAGGAGGAGGAGGAGGAGGAGGAGGAGGAGGAGGAGGAGGAGGAGGAGGAGGTTGAGGAGGTGAGAGTTGCGAGGATGTCTCAGGCGAAAGTGGCCTGACGGCCCGAATTCAAGGAATCTCGGAATCGCTGGTCTGGCTCGGCCACTGGCGAGCTCGGCCTGTGCGAATACTGTGCGTACCTGTGCGGGGCATGTGCGGGACGTGCAAGAATGCCGGGACTGGCGTTCGTCTCCGGACGCCGGCGCGTTCGCGTCCGCGCGCAAGCCGCGCGCGGACGCAGCGTTCGCCCGATTGCGCGGCCCCGACAGACGGGGCGCCCCGCCCACGCTCCGCACAGGCGCGCGCAGCGCTCGCCCTGCCCGCGTTCGCCGCCAGGAGCGGCACGCCGGAACAATGCCGGAACGACCAGGTGCATAAGGCATTATTGCATCACCTTCACAAGGCTTTGCGCGAGGTCGTGGGGCAGCACCCGATCTTACGAATGGTCAGCCACTGTCGCATGAGACATCCTCGCAACCCTGATCTCAATGATGCCCTGCTCGATCGTGTCTCGGCCCCTTTCGGCTGAGACATTCTCGGAACTCTGGGTTCCAACACGCCCTGAGCTGAGGTGGTTAGACCATTTTCGCTTTAGACATCCTCGCCCGAGATGCCCTGGGTTGAGGTGGTCAGGCCGCTTTCCCCTGAGACATCCGCGCAACTCTGACCTCAATGATGCCCTGCTCCAGAATGTCTCGGCCTTTCTCGCCTGAGACCCTCGCAACTCTGGGTTCCGAGATGCCCTGAGCAGGTGGTCAGGCCACTCCTGCCTGAGACATCCTCGCAACTCTGGGTTCCGAGACGCCCTGGGCTGAGGTGGTCAGACCACTCTCGCCAGAGACATCCTCGCAACTCTGACCTCAGAGATCTCTTGCCCCATGGTAGTCAGGCCACTTTCGCTTGAGACATCCTCACAACTCAGACCTCGGAGGTGTCCTGCCCCATGGTGGTCTGGTCACCTTGACCAGCGACATCCTCGCCACTCTAGTTTCCAAGATGCCCTGCCCCATGGTGGTCCGGCCACGCTTGCCTGAGACATCCTCGCAACTCGGGGTTGCGAAATGCCCCGAACTCAGGTGGTCAGGCCACTATCGCCTGCGACATTTCTGCGGCATGTGCGGGCATGTGCGGGCATGTGCGTCTATGCTTTCAGAGTTTTGCTTGACCGTGCATTCGACTGTGCGTCGGACGGTGTGGCATGTGCGCGCATGTGCGGCAATGCTGTTGAGGCTCTTGTATATTTGCATGGGCATTTGCATGCAACTGTGCGGCATGTGCCTGCATGTGCGGCCCCTTCCGGACCACAATTTCAAAGTGATCACTATAGAAGTGAGCGCTATAGAAGTGAGTCCGGTGTAAAGGGGTCAAACCAACTTCGACAGCGCATGATTATGTGTGTGTATATATATCTGACTGTTGGGATCCACGGCGACTGCCACGCCCATGCCGACGACTTCGACGACGACGATAACGACATCGACGCCAGCGCCGCCGCCGCCGCCGACGGAGCTGACGCCGATGGCACGTTGCTGCCTGTGTCCAGGGCTCTTTGTAGTGGTGGTGAGCACAGCGTCCGAACGCAATCGCGGCCGCGAACTTGAGGAGGGTGCCAGCGCCACCAAAATAAAGCATCTTAGTTTTTTTTCCCCCAGTGTCTTTGCTTGATGGCCGACCCCGAACCTCTGGTTCGGCTTTGGAAGTCGCCGCGGCGATCGCGGCAGTCCGATCTCGGGGACAGTTTTTTTTGCCAAGGAGTGGCATGCGCATTCCCAGCCCCCCCCTGGCCTTGCGATCTAGGCGTGGTTCATGATCCCAAATCCAGCGACACAGAAGTGCCCGTCGATGCCCAACGTGGCCAGTCGTGTTTTTTTTGTGTGTTGGATGTCGGGGTCGATTATCACTCCACCACACTTCCCAGACATCCGACGTCTCGATTTTTTCGAGACGGACCCCCGAGTTCGCGACCACTTCCCCGGGGCCAGTTTTTCGTCCCGAGTTGTTTTTTGACGGTCCCGAGGCCCGGCGAGGGCCTCGAGAGGCCGAAAACTACGAAAGACCTCCGTCTCGATTTTTTCGAGACGCCCGATCTCTGGGTTTTCTTCTTGCTCAGCAGATCTGGCATCTCAAACCTCCGCGGCGGCGCCCCGCCGCTGGGGGGCCATGGCGCCCCGCCGTGGCCCCCTCGGCGCGCCGCGCCTCGCCGGCGCCGCCGCGGCGCTGGGCGGCCTCTGGAGGTGCTGGCGCCCCGGAGCCGAGCGAGGAGGCGGGAGGCCTCGGGAGATGTCCTGCGGCCTGCCCCTCCTCCTCCTCCTCCTCCTCCTCCTCCTCCTCCTCCTCCTCCCCTTCCTCCTCCTCGCTCCGCCTCCTCCTCCTCCTCCTCCTCCTCCTCCTCCTCCTTCTCCTCCTCCTCGGGGGGAGGCAAAGGCCTTCACGCGCGAGCGACGGGGCAGAAAGGTTTCCGCTGCGCGGGCATTCGCGCGCAGGCTGCCGCCGTGGGGTCGCGCGTGAGCGAGGAGGAGGAGGAGGAGGAGGAGGAGGAGGAGGAGGAGGAGGAGGAGGAGGAGGAGGAGGAGGAGGAGGAGGAGGAGGAGGAGGAGGAGGAGCCCTCCTCTCCACGTGGTGTGCCGTGCAGGCGGTCCGCGTAACCCGCGTCGTAAGGTCGCTATGGCATCTTGCGTAATATCCTTTCTTCCTGTCGCTGACATAGGGCTGGAGCAGATGCGGTCGGATGATCGCGCCGCGTCGCCGATGCATCCGCGGTGCGGCGCGATTTGGAACCCATTCTTCTCCATCCTTCCGTAGCCGATGATCGCCGATTCATCCGCAATGCCGCGCGATCTTCCGACCCCATCTGCTCTGGCCCCATAGGGGAGGCCTCCAGGAGAAATAGGATGTGGGGGGATGAACATGAACAGTCCGTTTGGCAGCACGCGTGGCGGCAACGGTATGCATGTTCTCCGCAAGGAAGGATACTGGCGCCAGGTTGTTGCATCACACTTCTGCGTCACGGCACGAATCTTCAAGAGTTGTCTGGCCAGTACACGCTTCCACGCATCGGCGACGGCTGTCGAAGTCCTCAGTCTTTTTTGGTACACGCCGGTCGTTGAAGTCAGCTATTTTTGGATTCCGAGATCCCAATCTACTTTTGGCGCCTTCCTACTCCAATGGCCGACTGGTTTCCTTCTCCCCTCCTCTTCGGGGGGCAGGCGGAAGCCCAATCTACTTCCAACGCCTTCCTACTTCATGTCTCTGCCCACTTCTTCCGACCAGTGTGTACTTCTTCAATTCAGCTCTCCAGTGCTTGTTCGCACCCCGTATGGCTGCATAGCCGCAGTGCTTTCGGCCCGCGTGGCGGTCACGACGGGGCTAGGCTGCAGTTTCTGCGACTCAGACTTGCCCATGGGGGGACGGGCTTGGGGCCACAGACGACGGATGATCATCTGTTACATGTGGTTTCCGAGGCAACTCTTCGACGTTTGAGCGTCCCTTCTCCCTCTCGGCCGTCCCCCTCCCTCTTTGCCCGCCGGCCAATTCGCTAGTTTGTGCCCCTATCTTGCTTCTCTCTGGAGCGGAGTTCGCCGCCTCGCCGCTGACGGAAAACAATGGTTTCCGAGGCAGTTAAATGTGCAGCACGCTCGAATCACGAGTCCATCGGCAGACGAAGGGGCAACATGCGGCGCGACGGGCCGTCTCGGTGGGGGGGAAAGGGCCAGCGGGAACGCGAACGGCAGGGACCGTCGACCCTGAGAGAGCCAGAGAGTCCAGAACCAAAGCGAGCAGCAGGCGGCACAAGTTTCAGCAGGCGGCAGCCTAGAGCGCAGGCCGCAGGCAGGAACACAGGCAATCCCGCTTCGGGGTCAGCAAGCTTGGAGCCGAAAAGGGCGCGGATGTCGAGGAAAGGGGGGACGAAGATCCCGCGTCGCCCCGCGGCTAGTGCCAGGCGGGGGCGGGCGTGAGCGAGAGCGGGTGGCACAAACCGCTGCGTACCTACGCAGGCCGACAGGTTTTCCTCTTGAGGCCCAAATGTCGGAAGCGACGTGCCGTTCAGGCGAGCGGATACATGTAGCGCTCCTTTCGGCTTCAGGCGTGCCATATTTCATGGGAGGAAATGTGGGAGTTGGCTGGGCCCTCTGTAGCGACTGCAGCGTTCGAGCAACATTGTGTTATCGGGAGATTTTCGGGGGATGGCCAGGCCCGCTGTTGCGCTCGAGCATCCGCATGTGATGGGAGGAGTTGAGGGAGGTGGCCAGGCCCGCTGTGGTGCTCGAGCTTCCGATTTTGATACTTTGTTTGTGTGTCCTCATGCTCCCCGTCCTCCCTTTTCCCTGTTCCTCCCACGTCCTCCCTCCTCCCGCTACCTCCTGCTCCCTCCACTTTCCTCTTTCCGCATCGTTGCTCCCTCCCCCTCCCCTTCCTTCCTCCCCCCCTCCTCCCTGATTGTTTCTCCTTTCTCTTCGCTCCTCCCGTTCTTTCTCCCCTCCCCCACTTCTTCGTGCCTCCTCCCTCCCCCTTACCCTCTACGGCCTGGGAAGACCCCCCCTTCCCCCGTATAATCATAGCTTTGTCAGCATATCTACAGCTCCGTGGATAGCATGATGCTTCACGTGCGAGGCTCCGCGGATCCCATTTCCCTTGGGTTCGTGATGTTAGTCATTATTGTATATTTATCCCCGGAAAATGAATCCATCCATTGGTTTTTAACACACAGGAAAAAAGGATCCGCGCAAAACAGACATATGATCCACGACACTGTCGCACACCCGAACCAATGTCCAATTGTATTCATCGGCTTGGGGAGGAAGGGCCATGCCTTGCGCCATACTGGTCGCGTTCCGTCGGCAGTCGGCAACCAAACTTTGGAGCATCGTGCTGGGGACGTCGGTTGTTGCGAAGCGGGTTCCCTGTCTTGCCCCCCTGGTCCTGTCCAAAATTAATACCAGGGTGGTGGTGGTGGTGGTGGTTGAAACGCCAGCAATAACCCCCGCCCTCCCCCCCCGTCCCTCCCTTCTGCCCGCCCCTCTCTGTTAGTTAGTTGTCCCCACGATGAGGGGTCGGCGAGCTGGGCTTCTCCACCAGACGGGAGCGTGCACGCGCAGAGGGCGATCCCGCCGCGCCCGCCGCGACCGACTGACACGGAGCCGACCGCACAGCCCCGTGTCCTGCGCTGGCGTGGCCCCTTCTGCCGTCCGGCCGAGAAGGCCGCGCACACGGTGCGACACTCCGTGGGTCCACGAAGGGTCGCGCCAAGCAGAAAGCGGCGGTCAGAGGCCAGGGCACCTGCCAGAAGTTATGGTGGGCACAGTGGTGTGCCGGCAAGATGGACAAGCGTGTCGTCCCTTCGTTTCGCCTTTTCACGCCTCCTTGGAAACCTTCGTGGCCACCGCTGGATTCGCTTCGAAATTATGGTAAGAACGCATCCCGGGAGAGGTCCGGGGAGTAGCGGTATTGGTACCTTTCCGTTTCCCTTAGGAGTGCGGTAGGATTGGCGCCGCCTTTGACGTGCAATACTCCGCGGGGACCTTGCGCAGCATCTTCGCCTTTCTACGGTGGAAGAACTCATGACGAACAATGCGCGCAAACAGGGGAGGGAGTCATCTTGTACGCAACAACATGGTGAGTGCGTTGCCATTGCCCGCACTGGGCCCTTCTCCCCAAGCGCCTGACAGATGCATGCGCAGGGGCGGGATTCACCTTGGGGGCTCTGGTCGAATCCATGGTGGCTTGTGCGATGGGTGCGTGGCCCTTCGTACTTCGCATGCCTTGTGGCTCAGCGTGGCGTCCCCGACGGGATACGCTGAGTCGCAACGACCAGGGGCCGCGCGCAGGAGCACTTCCGCGCGCGCGACATCTAGCTCAACCAACATAGAAAATGCCGATACAACTTTCAGCACGAACAGATGCAACTTGCATTCAAGACTATTGAGTCGGTCTCCTTGCCGGGCAATACCCCGCGGCAGTCAAGCCTCGCGTCGGCACTGCGACACCGGGCGCGCACGGAAAGGATAACGCAAGCGCACCTGTTCTGTTCCAGAGCTTCTTCATCGAAGGAGGCACCGCTTGCGCGTCCTTCTCCTCCCGCTTCCTTTCTGCCTGCCTCTCTCCGCCCCCTCTCGCGTTTCATAGGGGGCTGCCACCTGCGCAAGTGCCCCACGCGCACCCGAGCGAGACCTCGTAGCCCCTCTTCTGGGCAGCCACCCTGATGCAGCTGTCGCCTCGGGGGGGGGTCAGCTCTTTAGGGCAGCCTATAATCTTTTCAAAGGGTTCGGGAGGATCCCAAAGGAATCCCTGAGGATCCCGCAGGGATTTACGGGGATTCCTGCGGGTGTCGCGGGAATGTCTATGGGATTTGTGAGGTTTCCAAACGGTCCCCTGCAGATTCTTATCGGATTCCTGTGGGCACCTGCGGGCTTCGCTGGGATTCACCTGTGTTTTTTTGCGATCCCTTAGGGAATCGTCTTTATTGGGGGGGTGGTCAGGCAGGGGCATCCCTCAGGGGGTAAGGACTCGGGACGTGCGCCAGCACAGCTGCCAAAATGACCGAGTCAGGCCCAGTTGAGCACACATAAGTTCCCTATGTCGATCGTTGACATGTCGTATGCCCTTTGCAATGGTGTGTCTTTAGGCTTGCAGCGCAGTCGCATGGTTGGCCAGCCTATCTCTGTAGCTGTGCTTGCGTCCCTTCTTGCGAGTGGGCGTGTCCTCTTTTCTGCGCTTCTGCGCGGCTGAGTCAATTGTTTACGCTTCGCGACTCCCCACCAGCCCATTCAGGAGCCCTGCCCATGAGAGCTGACGGGAAAAGGAACGAAGAGACACTGGAGGCTATCTTGGAGCATCGGAGACATTCTTGGAGCTATGGGGCTGTATTGGGGAATATTGGGGTCGTCCTGTAGCTCTTTTGGGGCATCTTGGGGCTCTCTTGGGGCTGGGGGGTCTTGTGGTCCTCTTGGGGCTCTTTTGGGGCGCCTTGGGGCCCTCATGGGGCCCTCTTGGGGCTCTCTTGGGGCCCAGGAGCTATGGAGCGCCTCCTGGGGCCATCTTGGAGACCATCGATCAAAGGAAGGGGGGTCCTCGATTTGCCTCCCCCCGCCGGGGCCATCGAAATAGCCTTTTGGGGCGCTCTTGTGGCCCTCTTGGGGCGATCTTGTGTGCTCGTGGGGCAGTCTTGGGGGCCTCTTGAGCCCTTCTTGGAGGTCGCGTGGGCCATCTTGGGGCCATCTTGAGGCTTTAACATCGCATCGGAAGCGAAAAGGCGAGAAGGCATTA